GAAACCAAAAGACAATAGAATAAAATACACTGAAAGTAACTACTTATCTAGAATTCAACAGAAAATTCTATAGAATTTTCAACAATTTTCAAGCAATCAAAAATTAAGAGATGATATCACCAACACACCCTCTATGGATGAAATTCTAAAAGACAGACCTCAGAAAGGCAGGAAAAAAAAAAGTGATCTGGGCAAGATCTTATCAGCTAGCCCTGGAATATTGCCTGGACTCCAGCTAGCTTGATTCAGTCACCTACTGACATAAAGAAAAAGTGAATTTTATACAGTTTGATCAAATTGAAGAAAAGCTGCTAGATTGCTACTCCACTGGTCCCACAGAAGTGGTTATAATACATAGAAACAAAAGCCAAGTGCTACACATACATAAATTTAGTTAGCATGTGCCAATCAGGCTGGGGTAAGAGCCAATCTCCTTCTTAGGGTCCTGGCATCCCCCAAAGAAGGGGGAGGGAGCTCTCCAGCCTTACTCTCAGTATGAGGAAATATGGGATGCAGAAAACAATTATCATGAAGTCATAATTTCAGAAGGGCCCTTAAGTTCAGTATTTTTCAAAAGGGTTAAGAGTCAAGAAGGAATGAAAAATTTTATTAACAAAACTAATAAAATTTAACTTCATAAAACAACTTAATAATGCAGTAATAATATCATCTAGTGGATTTAAAATAGGAATTAAAGTGCCAAAAACATTAATATATAAGTTGGGAACATAATAAATGGGATTCAAGTGTTTTGAGGTCTTTTTATTATCCATGTGAACCATAGAGGTTTTATTTTACTTTATACTTAGAACTTCACATTATGGACTATACTTCTAGGTGGATATAATAATATATTAGAGAAGAACAATGGTCCTGCCAAGACTACTATAGAAACTAGATACTGGGAAGCTGTTTCCAAAGATACTCATTTTGTGGGGGTATTTGCTGATTGTTACTCAGGATAAGAGGCTGAAATTCTGGATTTTGACTAGGCAACAGGCTGTCAAGAAACAAATTAGCAGAGATTTTGGAGATCTGACAGAACTGTGGGACCTCAAACTCAGTTTTTCCCCCAAGACATTTGCCAAACACTGAAACCATAAGAGAGAGTAAAGGTTAAGCAGAACACTTTTGAAAAACAAAGTTTCTAGTAGTCTTATAGTGCCAAGGAAACAGACAAACATTCAGAATATCTGGGGTCAGGAAGACCACACCAGGATACCAATGCCCTGGAGGCTGTACCCTAGAAGCAAAGGCAAATCAAAAACAGACTGACCCTTATTCTAAATGCCCATCAGAGAAAAAGGATAGTCATACTGTCCAGAGCCTCTATAATTTTATGACACTTAATCAAAAATTACTATCCTGATAATCCTTAGTAAGAAAAATGAAGTAGAAGGCATCACAATATCAGCCCTTAGATTATATTACAGAGCTATAATAACAGTACTTGGTACTGGCACCAAAACAGACATGTAGACCAATGGTACAGAATAGAAGACACAAAGACAAACTTATATAAATATAGTTACCTCATACTAGACAAAGGCGCCAAAAACATACACTGAAGAAAAGATAGCTTCTTCAACAAATAGTGCTGGGAAAACTGGAAATCCATATGTAGCAAAATGAAATTAAATCCCTATCACTCATCCTGCACAAAGCTCAACTCAAAGTGGATCAAGGACCTAGGCATGAGACAAGAGACCCTGCACCTGCTAGAAGAAGAAGCAAGCCCAAATCTTCATCATGTTGGGTTAGGAACCGACTTCCTTAACAAGACTCCTAAAGCATAAGAAGTAAAATCAAGAATCAACAAATGGGCTAGTATCAAACTAAAAAGTTTCTTCACTGCAAAGGAAATAATTAAGAATGTGAAGAGACAGCCTAAAGAATGGGGGGAAATCTTTTCCACCTGTATCTCAGATAGAGCATGAATCTCCAGGATACATAAAGAAAAAAACCCAAATAACCCAATCAATAAATGGGCTAAGGAACTAAACAGACACTTCACAGAAGATGAAATATGATCGGTCAACAAATATATGAAAAAAATGTTCAATATCTCTAGCAATTAGAAAAATGCTAATTAAAACTACACTGAGATTTCATCTTACTCCAGTAAGAATGACAATTATCAAGAATAAAAGCAACAATAAATGTTGGCGAGAATATGGGGGAAAAGATACACTCATATGTTGCTGGAAGAACTGCAATTTGGTGCAACCACTCTGGAAAGTAGAGTGGAGATTCCTCAGAAGAACTGAAATGAAACTACCATTTGACACATTTATCCCACTCCTTGGTATACCCAAAGGACTTAAAATCAGCATACTATAGTAAAGCTGCCACATCAATGTTTACAGCAGCTTTCAACAGATGAATGGATAAAGAAAATTAGTGTATACACAATGGAATATTACTCAGCCATAAAGAGAAACAAAATTATGGCATTTGCCAGTAAATGGATGGAACTTGAGACTATCATGCTAAGTGAAATAAGCCAACCCCAAAAACCAAAGGACAAATGTTCTAATATTTGGATGCTAACTTGCAATAATAGGGAGTAATGAAAAATAGAAGCACTTTGAATTAGACAAAGAGGAATGAAGGGAAGGGAGGAGAGTTGGGAATAGGAAAATTAGTAGAATGAATCAGACATTACTTTCCTATGTTCATATATGGGAAGTTGTATTTTATATATATATATATAAAATGTTAAATTTAATTATATATATATATATATATATATATAATATGTCAAAATACATTTTACTGTCAAGTATAAAATAAAATGATAAAATTACTATGCTGATAAAGAAACAATGAACATCAAAGCAATTTTGCCTTTTTCTTTGGCGGGATGGGGTACCAGGAATTGAAACTTGGAGTACTTAACCATTGAGCCACAGAGCCCGTTCTTTTTTATTATTATTTTTGAGACAGAGTCTTCGTTGCCAAAGGCCTCACTAAGTTCCTAAGGCTACCTTTGAACTTATGCTGCTCCTCTCTCAACATTCCCAACTGCTGAAATTACAAGTGTCGCACCACCACAGCACCCTGCTCAATTTTGCCTTCTTTTATAAGAGAATTATTTATAATACAATATCTTGCAATATTTTAACAGAGGAGGTCCCTTTCATGCAACAGGGGCCCACTTTATGTTTTGAATGTAAACCTTGCTGCTCAATCGCTGGAAACTTCTTTTAAAACTGACATTTTTTTCCTTTCCTCCTTTCCTATCCATAACTGAAGGGAAAACAAAAACACTCTTCCCTGCCTAAGTTATCTGTCCTTTGGTTTACTGCCAACCTGAACAAAGAAACTCTGGACCTGGAATGGAAAAATAGCTCTCCTAAGGACAAAGTTAAACGTTCATCACATTTACTGACAATATCTGGAAAATAGGCCTATACTTCCCTTTATAAAGCCCTCTGTAGTAGTTTGAATGGTAGCCTCTGTGACTTGAGTCTATTGCCTTTCTCCTTTGCTAGAAAAGCAGTAAAACTTTTTACTTTTTTTCAAAACCTTGATCAGCATCAGGGACAAGGACCAAACTTTCAATATCAACATCTTGAGTCATCAGTTCAAACACCAATGAAAATAATTGGGAAATGTGAAAATTTAAGAGAATAACAAAGAAACTCATGTATACTATATTTTTAAATTCTCTACAAAGTAATTTTTATCCTCCTTCAGATACTATATAATTTTCATTATTGCTCATACAGAATATTCATTAAAACTTATTACACTCCTATTTATTTAAAAGCACTTTCACGGGCCACAGTTGTAGCTCAATGGTAGAGCACTTGTTGTAGCACCATTAGGCTGGGTTGGATCCTCAGCACCACATTAAAAAAAAAAAAAAATACTAAATAAAGTACTGTGTCCATCTACAATAAATATATATATATATATATTTGTTGTAGATGTATATGTGTGTGTAAAATTCTTTTAAAAAACACTTTTACCACATTCCTTTAAACATTTTCATCTTGTACAATGCCAAAACTAACTCCCAATATCAACAACTAAAGTACATTCTTTTCAGATTTCCTAAGACTTTAAAACTTCTCATTGTATTTAGTTCCTCTTACATATTATAACTAATAATTTTAGCTTTGAAAGACTAAATAAAAGCTAATATTTACAAAACACTAAATCTCTACAGTAATGTAATGGCATCATTGGTAATATAAAAGCCTAGATTTCTTTTAGTATTTTCAACTAATGACCATGAATTTGTTGCCTCTTAACAAATAAAAAGTTAATCTCTATGTTATCTTAAAATAGACCAAATTCAAAATATAACTGTAAAAAAAAAAAAGTACAGGGCTAGGGATATGGCTCAATGACAGAATGCCTACCATGCATGACACCCTGAGTTTGATCCCCAGCACCACAAAAAATAATAGTAATACATTATTATTTTTAATAGGTATATTTTTCTTTTTACTTTTATGAAAAATTCTGTCTTAACAGAATAAAATCATTTAAGATAATAGTAAAAATGTCATATAAAATCAAATATATAGAGAATCACAGAATTCTCAGACCCTATTTAGATTCTAGTTTAACTATAAAATAAGGTTTTAACAACATGATTCTTAACGTTGATTTTATTTCTATACCTACCTATCTGCATGGCTACTGCATTATTACAGTAAAGCTTTTTTCATCTAGTTAAATCAGCATAAATAAGTGAAGTACTCTCTCAGAGGTGCATGTGATAAGCTACATTTGCACTATCAGGCTTACAATATACACAGAACACAAAACTGAGCACATACCCAAAAAAGCAACTTAATTAGCTAAATGAATCTGGGAAATTCTGACAGCACAGTAATGACTCATGTGCACACCCACAGTGAGGAGCAAGTAACCTTTGTGCTCCCTGAAAATAGGGAACCTTTGTACATCTGACTACTTACATAGAAAAAAGGTAGCTTGTTTGGGTAAAAGGAAAACAATGTTAGTGATCAAAAGCACATATTCACCTTGTAAAAACTCCTCCTTGTAAGCAATGAAGTAGAAGAAAGCAATGCTGAATTTCTTGGCCTGCTTTGTTTAAATCAGCCTTGAACCAAGAATAACTAAAACACTGGACCACAAGTGTTCCAAAAAGCATAAAGCTGAATGTTAAAATACCAAAAATATACTGTCCTTCGTGGAAAAACCTGACAGATACCCAGATGTCCACAATTAAATCAGCTACATAGATTATAATGCCAAGAACTGACATCATAAAATTGCATTTAGTATATTTCATTATGAATGCTATAGCTCTTGGCTATCTACTCTCTTCTCTTCATACAAAAAGGAAAAAAAATACCAGAACAAATATTATTCCATCCTCTGGTATAGCAATGAATTTTAATTTCTTCACTCTAAACCTACTTATTAAAATAAATAAATAATATGAAATTGGAATACAAAAAAGTGACTAATTTTAACTCTCTGTTCTAAATTTCTAATCCAGGTCCAAAGTTACAAGGCCCAACTCAATCTTCTGTTTCACGATGATCTTCATCACAGATGACAATGCCTAAAATGAAACAAAAACATAGTTTCTAAAAATCCTAAGTATAAAGACAGGGCCATGATTTTATTAAAGCTCTATTTTTTTCTAAAAATTATATATTACCAAATAAAATTATAATAATATATTGCCACTAAATATAATTCTTAAAATAGTTTTTGGAAAGTAAAGTCTCGGAGATATACTTGCTAGTTGAAAACTTCCTCTCAGATTGAAGTGTTTATATTTTTAAAATATAACCTACTCACAAAGGTTATTTATTGCAAGATCACTTATAGTAGCAAGAAAATGGAAATAACCTAAATGTGTCATCATAAGGAAATGGTAAAGTAAATAAAGATAGATTCATAAAATTGAATATTATAAAGTTACAAATATATATTTAACAAAGGCACAATAACTTTGAAAATTCTTAATATTCCTTTAGCCGGAAATTCCATGCAACATTTCAACATAGGGAAGTATTCACAAATAAGCCCAAACATACATACTCCTTGCAGAGTCTTTTTTATAACAACAAATAACTAAAAACTACCTAAACTGAGAGACCTAGTTTAATAAATTAGGATATATTCATAGTAAAGGATAAATCATGCAACCTTTGAGAAGAATGATGTAGCTTTGTTTGAAATTACTTCAGAAGATTTCCAAGATGTATAAAAGGGAACAGAGTACTAGAAAGATAAATACAGCATTTGTGGCTTTTAATTACATATAGGGAGGGGAAGGCAATTGGGAATGGGAACAAAAAACGAATGCAACTTCAATCATTTGCTCCCTCTGCTTCCATGTTGAGGTTTTACAACACACTCATGCACTCATATATTATTTTTACAATTTCTTAAGATAAAAATGACAATAAATGATACTGAAGAGGAATTTTGATGACTAGAAAAAATGTTTATCCTACTAAAAAGAGCTAACATATACTTAGCACTATGTGCATGGCACTGAGCTAAATGTTGTATATAAAATGCTCCAATTTGATTCTTACATCAAACTTAGGAGTAGATACTAACATCCCTATTTTATAAACATGTACTGAATGCAATCTGCAGACACAGTTTGTTTGACTTAAGTGTCTTTTGTTTTTCTAATTAATTCCAACATCTCATTTTTAAAAATCCAGATTTCTGTCTGCAATTAAAAAAAACTGAAAGATGTGCAATACTACATTACCATTTCTTCATGCAGTGTATGCCCTTAATATGGGGCATGCTTTCTTCAGTTTACCATAGTGGCCATTTGGCCTGCTTCAGTAATTTCAAATTCTGGGTCTCAGTGCTAATATACTTATCTACTCACAATGTGTCCTAAACCTTTTCTTTTCTGCCCTCTTCCCTATTTTTTAAATCTGATACAAATAATACTATATACGTTAGAGAGTTGTTATGAAGATTAAGAAAGATAATGCACATGATACATATAATCTAGAAAACTACTTGGCACATATGGCTCAAGAAATGTTATCATTATTATTTTGCATGCCTATCTGACCTCTGTAAGCATCTAAGTTTGCAATCTCTGACTTTACATAAAATGTTAAGTGAAAAATTACTGATTTGATCTCAAAGTTTTGAAAATGAAAATGAATGTCCATAGTTAGTTAGACAAAAACATAATTCCAACAGGAAAGAAATCTACATGGCAAGCTAAGATAATAATTCCCAAAAAGACAGCTTTCATTTCTTTCAATAACTACTTATTCATCTCTACCTCTACAGTTGATCACTATTCCAATACCACCTTAGGAAAAATAATACCACCTACAAAATTGACTTCCAGGGGACTTCTTACACTTAACTGACCTAACAGTACCAATCCAATTTCATTCAGAGGTCAACATAGCTATGGGTACCTGGTTGCTGGCCAAAAACATAACCCTTGCCCTTGTACATGATCTCCTCCCATTAAAGCAGACTTCTGAAGAAATAAAAACTAGGAAACTTTCACTTATCAGCCAAATTTAACACATTAAAAAAACTTACTTGTCAAATATTAAGAGCGTTCTTCAATTCAAAGTCCTTTCTGGAAAATCTGCATTTTGTGAATATTTTATTTCTTCACCACTGAAAACAAGCAAAATTAAAGGGCATATAATCATTTAAGATCGAATACTAAAATGAAACTGAAATCACCAGTTAGACACATGTGACATTTTATAATCTAGTGATAAGAGTATGTATCATCATGAATACAGTACACCTCTATATAACTACCTAATTGAGAGGAAAAAATAACATTGTTCCTTTGTACGCTGACTAGATTCCAAGCTTTCATTGTATTTGCCAAACAAATATTAAGAAAATATGAAAAGCTTAATAACATATCAAGGTGAGAATCTTAAATTTGAAATACTCACTTAAGGAATTTACAAAGTATTATTAACTTAGCCCTACCTACTTTTTCTCAATCTATATACCTTCTCAAACACTATGCCCTTAGAACATATACATGCCCTTAGAATATGTTGGTCTCTATTACTGTTCTAGCTTTCTGTTCCTATAACAAATACTGAGATAAACAAAAAAAGAAAAAAGTTATTTTGGCTCAGTTTTGGAGCTTCCGGTCTATGATCTTGTGGATTCATTGCTATGCTGGGAGTTGGGAGTCAACTCTTCATGGCAGGAGTTGTGCGGCAGAGCAAAGGTGCTCATCATACCACCAGGAATCAAAGGCAAGGAAGAGACCAGGGTCCCACAATCCCCTTCAAGGGCATGCCCTCAGTGACCTGAAGACCTCCCTGTGGGCCTCACCTCGTAAAGTTTTACGACTTCCCATAGTACTACAGGCTGAGAATGAAGTCTCTAATGCATGATCCAAGGGATCCAAATTTAAGTAATTCCCAAAATAAGAACTACATTTCTTCTAAGTTTTTTGCCCAAAGATATTTACTATCTAGAATAACCACCATCTATCTCTTGAAATTCTGCCATTCCTTTAAAAACCAGCTCTGGCCAGGCTCAGTGGTGCACACTTGTAATCCCAGGGGCTCCAGAGGCTGAGGCAGGAGGATTGCTTCAAAGCCAGCCCTAGCAATTTATCAAGGATCTAAGCAACTCAGTAAGATCCTGTCTGAAATATTTTTTAAAAGGGGGAAGAGCTGAGAAAACGTTTCAATGATTAAGTGCCCTTGGGTTCAATCCCTAGTACAAAACAACAACAAAAGAAAAACGCTCTAAACCCACAACCTTTAAGCTCCAAATCTTCCCAAACAATGAGTCTCCCCTTCCTCCTTGAAATCCCATCACCTTAACTATACTTCTAGGATTTATCAACATATGCTTTAAAATAATATCATGTATGTCTCCTTCATGGTTACAATCCTCTAGAAAGCAAAAATTATATAATTTTTAACATCTCCTCACTATGTTTACAACAGTACCTTGCATGTTGTAGGCAGGTAACAAATGACTTAATATAACTAAACAGACTGTAACACCTTTGATCTTATTTTTTGAAGAGAAACTTACACTCCATAATTCACACTGTTAAATATATCCACAAAGACTCACTTCTGTATTTTTAGTGTAGATCTCTTTTCAGAGCTCAATTCATATATCCAATTGTCTATGAATTCTTTACCTGGATATCCCACAATCACCTCAACTTCATCTTATCTAAACCATGTTCACTATCTATTCTGCTTTTGCTCTTCTACTGTCTATTGTATAACCCTATACATGTCACTTGACATTTAAATCATTTATTAGGCCCATTTCTTCATCTGCCAAATGAGAAACTTGGAAATGGATTAATGAAATCAAAATGGAAAGCACAAGAGATAATCTAGTCTTCAAAAACGGGAAAGATGAGGGAGTTGTCGTCCAGAGTCCCAGGAAAAGCACTGTGATCCAAAAACCACTATAATTCTCTTCTCCAAATTTACCAGCACAGTTCTTAAAAAGGAAGCATGGAGGTAGCTTCCCATCTGAATGACCATTAATTGATGGCTATCAATAGGTAAACATGGGTAGAATGAAAATGACTAAGTGAAGATTTTGATAGTTACCGCAAGGTTTTTTGTTTTGTTTTGTTTTGGCATTCAGGGAACCTAGGGAAGCTTAACCACTGAACCAGATCCCTAGACCTTTTTATTTTTTATATTGAGACAGGGTCTAAGTAGCTTAGGGCCTACCTAAGTCTACTAACATTTTTAAAAGATATATCGCTTATCTATCTCACAATCATTTATATGACAATTTCAGTAATATCTTTGGAAACACTTCCATTAATAGTGCATTTTTGAGACACAACTTCTCACACATAACACAGGTGTCTTTCAACCAATCTGAAATATTAAATTACTTCTTTGTAAAATAATTATAAGCAAAAAGCAGATTGTCTTTCTTCCGGAAAAAAAAAAAAAAAGACTTTAAAAAAAATCTCTTCTTCTGAAAAAAATGCTGAAGATACCTGTCCTAAATTTTAACTAAGCATTCAATGCGTCAGTTATTCATTTATTTCTTTAAAAAAGTAGATGGATGTTTTCTGCATCTCTTTGGAGGTAGTAGTTATATTCAATTATCTTAATTTGATGGAACTGATAATAGGATCTGTGCATTTTATTTTAGTTCATTTATAACTCAATTTTTTAATGGGAAACAGTAGCTAATACTAAGGCAGTTAATACTCAAAACGACTCGTTACAGAGCAGATCAGTTGATTCCATCTTAGCAAAAAAGGCTCTTCCCCAAGTCCAACTCTCCTTTCAGGGGAAAGTGGGTAAC